CGAGTGTTAACTTGAGTGTTTTTCCCATAATAGTTGAAACGGTATCAAGTAACGCCGGCGTGGCCGCTCTCAGGTTTCTCTCTGAAGATAGTTTCAAAATTGATCTTAGGCAGTTTAAGATTACATCCAGCCGATGAAATTATTTCAGTCGACGAGATTTTGCGAGCGTACTTGAATAATTTTCAATATAAAATTAAATTTATATTTAAGATCGTACAAACTTGAGAGTGCACAATCATTTTATTAGCTGAATGTAATTTGAAGATCACCCAAGATCAGAGTAAAAGAAGATTTATTATAGCTCGAGCTTAAGATAATTAAATTTGAGTTTAGAAAGCTCAAGTTTCCATTTAGCCAGGGTTGGGAAAGTTATTTTATAAAAGTATCTGGTTACACAGTTACAGTTTTTTTCGCTAAAAATATAACTAGTTATAGTTACATGTTACCAATTCTGAAAAGTAACGCGTTACAGTTACAGTTACTCAAAAAGCAATGAATCGTTACTTTGCAGTTACTTTCTGGCAATAAAAATAAAAAAAATCAAATCTGCATTTGAATCGTAAAGTGTCGATAAAGACGTTTATGCGCAAATGCAAGGCCTAATACGATCGGTGGAGGTTTAAAAAATATATAAAGTAACTATTAATGTAACTATTAAATTAGTTACTACACAGAGAACACGCATGACTAAACGACATCTTTAAGACGCCTATTAGACGTCTTTTAGACAAAAGATCACCCAAGTCTTAAAGATGTCTTTTAGACATGCATGTTCTCTGGGTAGTTGTCGAAAAAATGTAAACGAGTTAAGTTACAGTTACAGATGGAGAGAAAGTAACGAAGTTAAGTTAGAGTTACAAAAAAAAGTAACTGCAACTTCGTTACAAGTAACGAGTTACTTCTCAACTCTGCATTTAGCCGAAGAATTTTAGTAGGTCTTGAGAATATATTTAAGATATATTTTTAACACGAGAGGTCAGATTTTAATTTATCTTAAGATTGACCAAGCTTGGCGTAAGAGAAATATTTATTACAGTTCGATCTTGTAATTAATTAAGTTTCAAACTTGATCTTAGGCAGCTTAAGAGAGAGGTTCCATCCAGCCGATAAAATAATTTTAGTAGACGAGATTTCAAGAGTGTACTTAAAATAATTTTAAACAAAATCAGATTTACATTTAACGTTATATTTTAGACATTTCAAATTCAGATTGAATTTCGAGGATCGGGCGATAAATATTTATTCTCTTTCACGAGGTCTTCCTTTTATTAATGTGGAAAAATTGCTGGACGACGCTAGGACTGGCAAGTTCTATTTATCCTTCTGCTAGAACTGCGCGCCGATTCGGGTTGTCGGCTGTACACAGAATTATCGATACGCGATTTTTAAGTATCCCCGTTCCCTACCCTTCCCTCCAACCTGGACACCATTATTTGCTCAAGGTGTATAAATCACGCAAAGAATTATTTGACGCCAGTACATGATTAACCAATGTAGAAAAATTGCTTAACGTCAACGCCAATAATCAGAGAGATGCAATCATTTATTTATGAAACGCGCGTTACGTATGAAACACGTGTGTTTTTTTTACATATGTATGAACACGCTACACATAATATGCACATATGTGAAGATATGGCTACGTTTAACTTTGAGTGCACGGCGAAAACGTCGGCCTCAACGGTAGCACAGTATTTCAATACACGCGTCATTGTTTTAATTCGCATTACATTTATTCTTCTGCCCTTTACTGCAATAATGCCGCGACATTGCCTTCTTTTTAATTCGGCAATTCCACCTCGCATCCACCGTGGACTGCGTAGATGTAATTTATTAGACGTATCATTTATCACTTTTGCATGATGTGTATTACTTCTGGAATAACAATAATACATTATAACGTTGTACGATGTTCGCAGTCGTAGAAATTGCGATTACGCAATGCAAAAACACAGAAAAAACTTGTTTGCAGAGAGATTGCTATTAAAATACTCGGGACAATTGGCGAGCGTTTCTGTACTTCCCTGGGCCTAATTTTCACTGTGACGTAATCTCTAAATATTCTCCCTTCCGGGGAAAAATCCATTGCGGGGAAATACAAATTCTGAGCAGGCGCAAATATTCTCATATAAAATGTATCACTATTATTGTTAAACCACGGAAAATTTGGATTCGTAATCCGCCGCATACTGAATACTAAACAGAGATTATACGCAACGTATTGTCGGAACATTTATTTGTACATTATGATGTATATTGTATTATAACTTTCAGTACAGTAAAATAAATTAATATTCGACGTCAAGTGATCGAAAAGACACCTAACATTTTATACACCTATGTGTACGAATGTGTACACTGATAAAAAAATATCTTAATCCAAAAAATATTACTTTACTCAAGAAAATTCTTCGTTAGGTGACTCCTAATAGATTGTTAACTTAAATTTAAAAAATAATAAAATTAAAGCATGCATTGCTTTAATTTAAGTATTTATTAAATATCAAAGAATAGATAATTTTTAATTTACAAAATTTTATTTTTATTCTATAAAATGTTTACTAAGATGTGATTTTTACAGCAAAGAAAATTGGATTTCCTATTTAACAAAAACAATTCTTTCATTTAATAAATAGTATTCTATATCTCATGAAATCTTTATTTGAATGTAGAAAATGTCATGATTTAAATTAATTTACTTAATATAATACATAGATTTACTTGAAATTTGATATTTTTCTTTAAATAGAATAAATATTTACGTCAGTACAAAAAAATTAATTTTCAGTAAATCTATTTACTTGGTTAAAAAAATTTTTTGTCAGTGTACATGATATTATATCTATTGTATATATTGCTCATTATTTATGCGCGAACATCATTTATGTAATTTATTTTATCAATCTGAAAATAGTATGAAAATAAAACAGCTGCGTTTGGCGTGTATATCTTCTGAAAAAGCATCGCAAACTTCAAGAATGCTCCGTGTTCGAGTTGTCCACATTAACTTTCGATAAAATTGTCAGATGCGAATAATACTGTTAGCCGCGATAGAGTTTCGAAAATTTTAAGATAAGAATGAAAAATGGGCGCTTGAAACAGAAAGACATACGAAGAAGTCGGACGCGCGTTCGTTTCGGCTTCCGGAAATTCGCACGAGCGAGTGGGGATGAATAGATAGAAAGGGTATCCGTTACTCTTATAAGAGAAACGATCGGCTTAGAGAAACGTTTAGTCAAGGCTGGACGCTCTGTCATGCTCGTTGCGTTCCGTTTCGCCAGTGCACCATGATCGGGTCGGTATACTTTCATTTTTTATCGCTTCGCGAAGGTGTGCGTGCGGCAATAAAAATGCCTGCGCTGACATCACACGACTTTTGCATGATTATTTTCTCTACTGTGCATAACGGCCTCTCTAAATCGACGTGTTGCAAATCAATGTAAATTCAAACGTGCGTCGCATGAGTGAAAGCGCAGTTGCGCGAAAGACCGTCTTTGTTACGCGAAAGACCGTCTTTGTTACGCGACAATTTAAACTGATGTGAAACACGTTTTTATTTTCGAGATTTGCGAAATTTGTGATTTACATTGCTTAAAGCAATCGTAAATCGCAGTGTAAACTTGTGATCTGCGAAAGTGTGCTCGTCGAGTGTGTAATTTTTTAACGTAAAATCCATTCGAGTATTTTCGTTCCATATCAATTTGCCGAGTCATTATATTTCACGTGTACATTAATGCATTATAAAAATAAAATTAATAAAATGTTGAGATAAGGGAAATGCTCGTTGAATATAGAAACAAAATAAATAATGTCGAGGTCAATAATAATGTTTAGGTGATATTAATATGTGCATTTATTCTTGTATACTATATTTATGTGTGATATTTATATGTGCATTTATTCTTGTATACTATACAAGAAGTATATTATACAAGAAGAAATGCACATGTTCTTATTATTGTATATTATACAAGTAGAAATACACATGTTTTTATTATTTAGCACCTAAATAAGCTTGTCATTATTATTGGCCATGACATTATTTCTTCTGTAAATAAAACGTTTTCAAGGCCAAATATTTGTTGGAGAACTAAGACGACAATGTACTTAATGCTAATTGCACTTGTACTTTAGAAACATTTTGGCGTTTATTAAAACTTGTTAAGTTTGAAGGACTAAACATGTATTTTCTTGAAAATTATTTAAAGAAGATTTTACAAAACATATAGTTTGAAGCTCTGTACAGTTTATTGTGTTTATATCGTATGCATATTTACAATTATTTTGGATATCGATCGTAGAAAAGAACAATTCAATTCTAGTTTGTTTGTACTGAGCTTACTATATTTGTTACGATACTAGCTTGTACTGAGAAGTTGTTATTAAATGTCGAAGAAGTGTAATTAAGTTAGAAAACAATTTCATTTTGAGAAGTCAACAATTTTACTTTCCTAAGCAATTTACAATTTAGATTACAAATAAGGTTCGCCATATTACCCAGCTTGTAAAAAGAGGTGAAAAAAAAGATGAATCGACCATTTGCTATATTCAAAGATATCCAGAGAGATTATGCATCAAGAAGGGATGAGATTGCTTGATTTTCGAGCGATTAGCGGCCGCGTAATCACGTGCAACTACTACGCTGTATGCTGCAATCGCATATAGAATCGTAATTATCCGTGTGTGTACAAATGGATTTATCGAGTTTTTACACCAAAGTAAGCGGGTATAGAAGTATTGAAAGCATTTTCGCTAAACGCGTGGATATTCACCTTAATTTTGAACTCACCCAATAATATTACGTATCAGAATGTTACGCTTACTGTGCAACGATTGCTGTTAAGTACATGATATTCCATTATAATTGCAAAAGCAGTTAACTGGTGACTAGTCAGAGATAAAGACGCGTCCACAATTATGTATGTATTTTTACGTAGATAGTGCCGCATCTTTGTACCAAGAATGAATACGAGTTTCGCAGCGTTTTTTGAAAAAAAAAATCCTGTCTTTTCATCGATTTATTATTGAAAGAAAACTGTTAACCATTTTTTTTGCAACATTTTCGTAATTCCTTTCTAGCTACAAATGTATACACATGTGCTTGTTTGGAAATTATTAAATATTTTTTATCTTTTTAGAGAATATTTTTTTATAAAAATTTAACTTCATGTGAAAATGATAAATTTCATTTGTGGATGCTTTGATAAATATTTTTAGAAGTAATTTATTCTGTTAAAAATTTACTGTTACAAATTCTGTTAAAAATTTACAACTAGTTATATAAATGCTATAAAAATTAATTATTTATTCACATCTTTTTTAAAGTATATATAAGATGAAATATATAAGATGAAGTATATATAAGATGTAAATTTTTAACAGAATTTGCAAACAAATATATCTTGCCGTTAATAAGAATATATTGAATAAATAATACTTTCTTGTGTAATTTGTGCAAGAAAACAAAATATATATACTTGCACAAATTACACTATGTTATACAATTTAGTCTTACACGTGTAATTAATTAAACGCATCTGTTCGTTAAGAAAGTATTATTTAATTTAAAGTTGCAAAGACGTAATTATAAGAATGTTTGAGTTGTGAAAAGACGTGGTATATATTTCTCAAGCGTAACAACCACTTGGCGCGTCACGATAAATCTGCTTCCTTTTGTCTTGACGTTATCCCGAAACATATAATTCTGTAAATCGTAATTAAAAAAATTGCGACCATCTCAGCAGGCTCGTATCATTCGCTGACATCGGCCAAAGATGTTTATCTGATTTCAAGCTATTTGTTTAATTTAGGTCTGGTTCTGACTGATAAAGTAAAAAAAAAAGAATTATTTTGTCGCTTTATCTACAGGTGTTGTAGTACTACTACGAGTATATTGATCCATTCAAGTTATATCTCTATTGTACGTTCTTAAAGGCCATGACGGACTGATAAAGTGTGCGATAACTAAATATTTACTGATCTGTAAACGTCTTTAATTAAGCCTGGCTAATTAATCAGTTGCGAAAATGGATCTTTCCTTCGCAATAAACGCGATTTTCATAATTTTAGTGCCGTATCTCAAGTTGTATCTTGAACTTGACAAGGATGAAGGTACAGCAGTTTGTAAATGGCTCAACGCTAAGTCCGCGCGGTGCATGAATGTATTGAATGATATACACGCGTTACGCAATCTCAGTGAATTGCATAGTAAATGTCTTCTGCGTGTGCAAATCCGTGATTGTACGATGATAACTGACCACGTTCTCGAATCAGCGGCGACAATAAAGGTAACAATGCACGAGCGCGTTGATATGTCTCGAGCGATACATATCTACGTTTAATTATATAAACTCTTTAACTGCCAATCTTATCACAGTCACAATCGTAACCAATGATTGCGGGATGCTTGTAAAAGAATTTTATTAACTTACCGAACGGTTGTTATCTTTCATCTAACTGTAATCACTAGCTTTGTAGCGCGATATCCTAATTTATACGAGTGCGCATCATTCGAACTACACGGAGAGAATTTTCTCTCAAAATTTAGCCTGAAAATCATGTAATCGCGGGACAACGTGACATTTTGAACAACTTTATGAGAGTTTTTTGAAATTTTACCATACTTTTTACTTTTTACATACTAGTAAAATGTATGGTAAAATTTCAAAAAGCTCTCATAAAGTTCGTCAAAATATCATGTTGTCCCACGATTACATGATTTTCAGGATAAATTTTTAGAACAAATTCTCTCCGCGTAATTGTACACGCAAACCTTCTCAATATATTTGTTTGATAAATTGTTACGTAGGATTGTTGCACGTTGTAAAGCAATCATATTTTACATGACAAAATTATTTCACGCTTTACAATATAATCGTGCTGTTATAATTGTGTCTCGCAGCTGATAGACCTTTACAACAGGTGCGAATGCGGTCATGGTAAACCATCGGAGCGTGAGACCGACTGCGAGATTGTGACCGGCAGAAGTTCCAAGCGTCATTGACTTTTATTTTCGTATTCACTATTGTGCGGCTTCATTCATCAATCACGTAACAATTGGCCGTGCATCGTAATCATCGGTTTCTTATTGAAAAAAAAAAAATGCACGCACGCATGTCGCAAGAACTCGATTTATTCAAACTTTTCGATCAATTTTTTTTATTGCATAACCGGATTTTAATTTGCGCATATCATAAAATGGATGCGGCGGAAAATAGAAATTTCCTCGCATATCAAATGCATTTTTCGAATAAAAGTCACGCCGACAGAACGTTACGCGGATTAAGTTTATGTTGAGAGACAGAGATTGTCTAATGAGATTCAACATTACGGTCTCGCAACTATATTTAACGTTCACGAAACAAGCACAGCCCGACCAGGTCAATTCTTATATCGAGAGGGCAAATCGTAAAAATCTGATTTCTTTTTTACATATTCTGCGCAGAGTGCGGAAAAAGCTGCTTGTGGCTGGCGTCGCGACCGTCATACTTGTGGCTGTCTTTGTGGTATTAATCGTAGTCTTCACGCTCAATTCAGGCGACGTAAAATGCGGTCCAAAGTTCGTCAGTTCTTCCAAACTGGGTCGATACACAAAGGTAATTCCCAAATCACAAAATATAAAAAGAAACAACAAAGCCAGCTTTAATGATAACGTAATAGAGACACCGATGTTAGACTTATAGAAGAAGCAAAAAGCCATGCTCTCCGAACTATTCGTTTAATTAAAATATGGCGTTCCGGAAAAAGAGATGTGTGATTATTTCCAAATTACCCCTCGCGCTATCAATAACAGAGAATTAATTAAATACAGGATTTAATTTGATATTAAATAACAGTAAATAATAAAAGTAATGCTATGCGCGTGTTTGCCTCGGAAAATATATTTTCGCTGGAATTGTTGTTTCGATAGCTGCTTTATTTCATTTGCTATTTCCTCGCAAACATTCGCTTTGTTTTGTATAAAAGGAAGACGCGCAGCGCGAGATGCGGTATGATGTATTATAATAGTATATTCCGGAGGTTTCTCACGCGATTATTGAAACATTCACAAACAGGGCGCCGTGACGACAAACGGCCAGGAATGCTCCAAAATCGGCGCCGATATCTTATTCAGGAACGGCTCGGCGGTGGATGCGGCGATAGCGGCGCTTCTTTGCGAAAGTGTCGCGTCCCTGCACAGGTACTTCCCCTTTCAACTTCCTTTTCCTCTCGCTGCGGGGACAACGCTTCTCGATAATGAATTCGCGAGCGAAGTGCACAGCGAAGAAAACCTTTCCACATTCGATTTTCAGCATGGGACTGGGCGGCGGATTTTTCATGACGATATGGGACGCGAAAAGCAAAACCGCGGATTTTCTGGACGCGAGGGAGACCGCCCCGTTGGCCGCGACGGAGAAAATGTACGATGGCAACGCTCGTTTATCCATGTACGGTAGGTCCTTTCGCAGCTTACTGGCGGACACGCTTGCGTCGGAATCGCTTCCAAGCGCGTCATATAGTTACCGCCGGATGTAACGTAACAATTAATTCATTAATAAAAATGTTGCGCTATTTTTGCCCGCGCAACAACAACGGTCTCCCGTGCCCGAGGTAAACAAGCGAGATCTATGTGTTGTCGAACAGGTGGCCTGGCAGTTGCGGTACCCGGCGAGCTTATGGGCTATTCGGAAGCGCATAAAAAATACGGGAGATTACCGTGGCCGGAGTTATTTGAGCCCGCCATTAAATTGTGCGAAACTGGATCGCGCGTCAATGATTATCTCGCCTCGTATCTGGCCGAGAAGGAGCCTATGATAAAGAACGAGAGCAGTATGGCTGAAATACTCATAAATCCTGACACCAATAGAACGTGGATCGTGAGTAACCGCGCTCGCTTTTCGCCTCCTCTTGCCATTTTTTTTTTAAGACTCTCGCCATGCGACATTCCGCAGCGGCCGTGAAATAAATGGAGAAATAACATTTGCAGGCGGGTGACCGAATAAAGAGGCCGAAACTCGCCAAGACACTGAGGCTGATAGCGGACGAGGGTGTCGACGTATTTTATAATGGTATTATCGCGGACAAATTAGTCGACGAGATAGCGAGGTTTAAGGGAATAATCACGAAGCGAGATTTTCAAGAGTATAGGTGCGCACTTTTTTTCCTATCTCTGGAATTTGGAATATTCCGGGTGCTCGTAAAGCTTGCCATTTAAATCAGATAGGAGCAATTATGTCTTCTACGCAGTTAAAATTTTACGAGAAAGCATAAAGCAGGATGTCAGTGTGTAGCAGAAAGACGATGCTGTTATAGATAAAGACGATTTGCAACGATAACATTAATGGAAAAATTTTTTTAATCACATTAAAGATTCAGAATCTCGTGACCGGAAATAATATGTTTTTGCCGCCGTTGTACAATTGGTGTCACAACGAAACGTTAAATTGAACGTCAGATTAAAATGGCAATTAATTTTTATTATCCGCAGCCGGTTTAAGACCGATAAAAATATAAGAGCAGATTAGATATCGTCCATTCTTTATTTGAGTAAACGGATGTCAACAATAACATTTATTTTAAAGTAAATATTAAGCTGCTGCGTCTCTTCGATTGCTTTCTCCGTTCTCGCACAAGTTATTTAGGATTCGGAACTTGACGATAAGATGAAATGAACAGTACCGGGCAAAACTTGGTGAAGACTGTTAGATAAGTCACGGCAGCGTATCGTTGACGCAAGATTTACATTGCAGGGCCATATGGAGAAAGCCGGTCTCATTGAAAATGGGAAACCTGACGCTTTACAGCGCCCCGCCGCCTGGTTCGGGCGCGATTCTGACGTTTATAATGAACGTCCTTCGTCGTTTGCTGCCGGTCAGCAATGAGAACGTTATGTGGCAACGGGTAGTGGAGACCTTCAAGTGGGCTTACGCAAGGAGAACGGAGCTGGGGGATCCTGATTTTGTCGAAGGCATAGGTGAGGGACCGTGGATGCGCAATGTGTAACTGCGAGTCCTCGATAATGCATCGTGAAAAATACAGGGTGGCCCGCGCAGTTTTATCCCCGTTTGTGGAATTTCCCAAGCTATTTTCCGCCAAGCTTTCTTATAAACTCGCGGCTGATATTTCGATCTTTTTCGGTCCCTTTCGTTGTTGCACAGCGCGACATGGGAAGAAGTAAAAAAGAAATTACGGCTTCTTACTTCAAAGACTGACGATTCAAAGTGTTCGTATTGTACTCGTAACCTTTTCCTATTAAAATTTCAAAAATACTACTTTTTCTCTCCAATTGTCAAGTTAGTGTCATTCTTTAATCGCGAATCAGATTCCACTTATATATTAATATATTTTTGCATCAAGTAACTTCAGAAATACCCATTAGGTAAGCGTAGAACTTGGTGAATGTATTATAATATTATGCGTGAACAATTGATTCACAAGGCTCTAATGTGAAAACACAAATACGAAGTAATGAAGGAGTAAGAGCCAAGACAGGGTGTTAGTGTCTAAATATATTATATATAAATTAATTAAATTAACAAATTAATAAAATTCGTATGGCTCAAATGTGATGAACACAAATTTGAAGGAATAGTCGCTGCTCTTAGTCCTTTATTCCTTCAAATTTTAATTAAATTAATTAAAATTCTAAAAAAATGCAGTCGGATGACAACGCGAAAAGTTCCTGGACACGAGTGAAAACAATCTGTTTAGTAGCCACTTCTCACAAGATCGTTGGGATGATAAATGCATGTAATATTAATAGAAACTGTTAAGGATCGTCTACAATACACAGTGAGTCTGGCGTGAGAAGTAAGAGTAGGAGTAAGGAAATGAATCATTTTTATTTCTTACCTCTACCTCTGCTCTCACGCTCAGTCTCGGCGGATTAGAGCGCGGTTTGGACAGCGCTAAAGATATTTTTAAAAATGACGCCTGTATTTTAGCTTTCACGCCGCGAGGTATAGGATTTCTTACTTCTTACTTCCAATGTAGACGGTCCTTTACGCGCTCATTGAAAAGTTTAAGCATCCCGATTATTAATGCGTTAAAGATACTTGCCGTAACTAAAGATAATTTTTCGCGTGTTGACATCGACGCGTCAAAAGAATAAATTAATAAAAAAAGATAGACACAGAGTTTTTTGTGCGTTTGCGTTATTTTAAGCACGTATTAATTTTACTTAACATCGCGATACACGGCATAGTTTTTTCCGAGAATCCTTGCGTCAAATGCTTCCTTGTAATTTCATGTATCGTCACGCGAAACTTGTTATTCTAGTATTTTCATTCCCGGTATTTTCATTCCAGCGCGATTTTCTCGATTGCATTCTTCGAGTCTTTCCCTGCAATCAAGAAGCGTTTAACGCGATGAAATTATTTCTTTGTAGACGCGCTGCTCGCCAATTTAACGTCCAACGATTACGCGGAAATGATAAAAGGGAGGATTAAGGACGATCGCACGAGTCAAGATCCGGCGGATTACGGCGCCGTCACCGCAACAATCGTGGATGCGGGGACCGCGCACGTTTCCGTCCTCGCTCCTGATGGCTCCGCCGTTTCCGTCACATCGACCATCAATCAGGTGTAAGTGAAGTCGCAGGTGACGTGATACTAATCAAGATACTCCAATCGAATGCTCAGATTGCAAGACCAATTGGTCTTAAAATCAATTACGCTCAGTTCGCGGCATCTTTTCACTTTCATGGAACTCATGAAATTGTTTCATATTAGACATTCCAAATATTCAAACAAATTACAACGGTCGATTTGTAAAGTACTCCAAATCAAACGCTTAAATTGTGAAACCATTTGTTGTAAAGTCAACTGCGATCGGGTTGCGAGATTTCTCCGCTTTCGTGGAACTCAATTATTTCATATTGAAGATTCGAAATGTTCAAATAATTGGAATGATCGATTTGTAAAGCACTCCAGATGCTTGAATTGCGAGATTGTTGGTCTTAAAATCAATTACGCTCAGCTTGCAACATCTCTTCACTTTCATGGAACTCAATTGTTTCATATTGAACATTTCAAATAATCAAATAATTACAACGATTTGTGAAACACTCCAAATCGAGCGCCGAAATTGCGTAACAATGTCTGCTGTAAAATCAACTGCGATCAGGTTGCGAGATTTCTTCGTTTTTGTGGAACTCAATTGTTTCGTATTGAACATTCCAAATATTCGAATAATGACGATGATCGATTTGTAAAGCACTCCACAGATCGAATGCCTAAATTGCGAAACTATTTGTTTTAAAACCAATTGCGTTCAGGTTGCGAGATTTCCTCGCTTTCGTGGGAACTCAATTGTTTCATATACATACATCACAAATATTACAACGATCGATTTGCAAAGTATCGAATGTGCATAATATTTTCAAATAAAAATATCAGAGTCTCTCTCTCGAGTTTTCGCAATATCGGTACGCGTTTCTAACAGAAACTTTATCGTAACTTTTCCTATAATACCCTCCGCGTGTATCGGCCCGTGAAAAAGCGCGAAGGGGAGAATCAATTGAATCGCTTCACTTCCGAAATACGTTTGATATGCTGCTTTTTGAAAGCGCGGTTTATATATCTGTCCTTAAAAATGGAACGATTCAGCGAGGAGCGCGGTCCGCGGCGGGATCCTGCGGTGTATAATGCGCCAGGACTCCCCGTACTCCTTGTAAGCATCTTTATTTAACAGGCTCGGCGCGATGATACGCTCCGTGTCCACCGATATAATATTTAACGACGAGATGGACGACTTCAGCTCGCCCAACATCACCAACGGCTTCGGGCTGCCGCCGTCACCGGCGAACTTCATTCGGCCTGGCAAACGGCCGCTGAGTTCGATGTGTCCGGCTATAGTGGTAAGCCATTTCACCGCAAACGTGACCGTCTATATAAATTCGCCGGAAGCTCGAAACTCGGGGAATAACGTGTAACAAAACAGCCCGGTGTCTCGTGAAACGTTGCGAAACGCGCTTAATAAAATATAATGAGTTTGCAATTAACTATCGTCAGATTAACCATTGGGGCTTCCGGGAACCGTTCGGCTTAATGATATAATTGCAATTCGCGACGATCACGCGATTCTCCGCGCAGCAGCCACGTGAAATCTCGTCAATGTTTCTCGCGCAATTCGATGGGCCGGACCTGCGTGGAGAGCAGAACTTTAAACGCTTTCTCGAGATAATTTCGAAGGGAAGAGTGAGACCGCGGCGACGGGACGGCTAATTTAACAATAAGTTCACTTGACTCAATCATGCGATCTCTCTTAGGTCGATCACAAGGACAATGTGAGATTAGTGATTGGTGCAGCCGGTGGTTCCAAGATCACGAGCGCCGTGGCGATTGGGATGCTCTTGAATCTCTGGTTTGATTACGACATAAAGGAAGCGGTTGATGCGCGTAGACTTCATCATCAAGTGAGTTCAAGCATATAAACGTTTCAACTCAAGAAAGTAATTCTAATCGGGCACCAAGTTCGCATTGTGCCATTACAATCGAATCGACTTTTAATTCCGTAATGACGGTCTAAGAAATTGCTGCTGAAACTTCTCGTGAATAATATTCACCGAAAGTCAGAGCAGCGTCTCTGCATTTTACTTATATTTAAAGTATTTAAAATAGAAGAAAACATTTTACAAAAATTATATTACCAGGTAATAATTTTAGAGAGAAGTGGTTAAAATATTCGTAAAATTATTATTTCATGGAATTCGGATAAACTGAGAAGTTGATTAATTTCTTAGTTTGCTAAAATCTTTCCTTATACAATCAATTATATCTCAGAAACTGTTTATGCTTTGATATATTTTCTTTGGGGGGGGGGGGGAGGAAATAAGAGGAATTATATTCTTATAGTTATATTCCTCAACTCTTCATTACGCACGCAAGAAAATTATTAAGATAATGGCTTCATTCGTACTAAATTGAAACTGTTACTTGGAAGACACTGTCTAATTATTATACTTATTAATAACCTAGGTTTAAAGTAGCTATTAAAAAAATTGCAGCTGCTGCCGATGATTGTCGAGAACGAGAAAAACTTTTGCCAAGCCACGTTAAATTACTTGAGTAAAATCGGGCACAACATCACCACTTTTAGCGGAATTGGAAGCGCAATTACGGCAATATCCACGAAGAATGGACTCGTAACAGCAAACTCAGATTTTCGCCGACAGGGGACAACAGCGGGATTATAAAAATTATTAAAATTAAAGTATATTACACGCGGATGGTGTAACATGGATGTAACATTGATTCTTCTTTCGTGATTCTTTTAAATTGCAACGACGACAAATCATTTTGAATTAATGCTCTCTACGCGGAATGAAATCTTTGTTTTATCGCATCCTATTTATAAAAAATGTAGCAGTACAAAGTAATTTCTGAAGTTACAAAACCGTCTATATACGATTCATGTGTGATTAGACTAGAATTGTTATAAAACTACCAAATTCCTACTTTTAATATATTATAACGTAATTTCAAAAGATAATTTACATGTTTCACAAGGAAATAATTCGCAATGTATCGTGCCGACGACATGTAAGATACACTCTAGCGACCGAATCAGTATAATAACAGCCTATTCTCCACTGGACTGTAAATACTTAAAACTTGTAATTGCGAGTATTAATTATTTATTTTATTATTACGACCCATCGATCATCGCATCTCTGTATATATTCCATAATGTTTCGTACACGATTCAAATATAAAAATGTTTATGCTTTTCTATTTAGTACGAATTAAATGAATTTCTGAAGGTTGTAAATATGTTATTCTTTTATTGTTGAAACGAAAAATAACATACCCGTAACAGATAACATAGGATTCTATTCTTGGTAATGTAGGCAGCACAATAATTCTGCTTATGCAATGCGCGTACAGATCATGTATGTACAATTCCATATGAAATAATATTGCAACGAAATGTTTTAATAAAAATAGAAAAACAGTTATAAATGGTGCATGTTTAGACAAATAATGACGTTTTTTTCAAATTAAGTTATATTTAAAAAAACAGAAGGTTATTAAAATACCATTAAGAGAGACACAACGCGGAAAACTTTACTTTTAACTGCATCATTTATTAACATAAATTTATCTTGCGTAAGTTAATACGATTTACAAAACTTTCAATTTATGCTACCACTTAGCCATAATTATTCCTCGAAATCAAAATAATTGTGCAGCAAGTTAATGATTTCATAACAAAGTTATTGTATCTCTTTAGGCTACGTTTTCCAACAATCTGCATTTTCATAATCACGTTTCACATTGTGTATACGTTAGTCATTCTCGAAATTGGGCACTGACAAGATTGTAATTGAGGAGTTCGGTGGAAGAACGACTTAAGTCGATTTAAGTTTTTGTAAGTATTTTATTCATTCAAAGTTTTGGAATTGAACATTTACGTATTTCTTGATCAAACTGTAAGATTCCAAGTGCACATTTTGTAGATATTGATCGGTTGAATACTGCGATACAAATTTTAGCTTAGCTTTTATAATGTATGAAAAAACAATTTAAATGAATTCACGTCGTTCTTTCAACTTTTCAATTAATTTGAATCGGAAAATTTTGTAATGTAATAAATCAATCTTGACTCATGTATAATTCAATACTAATTATACTTGAATAATCAAGTCAGCGATGTAATATTCACAGTCATTATCGTATATCGACTGATCTCTTTCGCAAGGTTGTATGTCGATTTTATGCAATTTCCGGGATTTTTAAAGCGCTTATTTTTAATCCAGAATAAGCGTTTAAGCAGAAAAACAAAAAATTGCGTAAAATCGAGACACTACATTGCGAAAGAGATCAATCGATATTCTCGAAAATGTATTTACGAAGTTTACGGTTTTCTAAAACAGTCAACAGTCAAATAATTTGATATTGAAATAAACAAACAAGATTACACGCTTATATATTTTCCTTTGTCGAGATAAACAATATAATTTTGGCATTTTCGGATAAAAATCGCCAAGATGAGTTTTGCATTGAGAATTCAGTTTAACATTATTTCCAATTGATTAATTTTAGCGATGAGAATTAAGTAATTATGTTATTAGTAATAATGATATCTTCAAGTATATTTTGAAAACAATTCGGAGAGAGAGAGAATGTCGTCAGGAAATCTTTATTCAAGGTTACTGCCGCTATAGTAGTTAGTATTCCTTTCAAGCTTCTACCTTAACCAATGCACTCGCTATACATCTCGAATACAGAATACATAATTTCTTCCGTTAGCGCGTGTCCTTCGTTGATAACATCCGTATTAACAGCGGAAAATATTTCTTCCGCGTTCATTTCGCCGGGATAGATTTTAAACCGAGCTTTTATAATCGCAACGGGGCTATCATCATTATTTCCATGCACTCGGCGGATCGCTACAATTGTCCTTTTACAATTAACGTCCTATAGAAGCGCCCTAGAAAATTTGCCCTTTGAAAATTCTCTCTTTTTAAACCGTTCATCCTTCGGGTCCATTTTACTTTCGAAATAATTAGGCAAATCACGGTTGGAAAATTAGCACAAAGTGTACCGCGCATTTAATAACTCTTGATCAACTGTAGAAGAGACAAAAGCGTTTATCGTCACGCAGGAACAATTCCAGAAAAGTTTCATAACTGCCCTGACTCACTCTGATCATTCTGTCGGCTTGACAAGATAATTCGCGGCAGCGCATCAGCGCCAATGTTACCTCCCATCTCGCGAAACATATGTACGTATTATACAAAATAATATTGCGGATCACGGCGGTGCGCGGAGAGAATTGTCTCTTAAAATTTATCCTGAAAATCACGTAATCGTGGGGCAGCGCGGCCTTTCGAAGAATTTTATGAAAGATTTTTGAAATTTTACCACACATTTTACTAGTGAAATGTATAGTAATATTTCAAAAAAACTCTCATACAGTTCTCCAAAATGCCACGTTGTCCCACGACTACATGATTTTCAGGGTAAATTTTAAGAGACAATTTCTCCCCGTGTGTTTTATTAGACTGTCTGTTGCGAAGAGGACCGTTTTACTGTTTTGAAAGCTTTTCATTAGTCACCAAACCGCATCCGGGGGCATGCGGATTTGCATATTCGATGTTATTGTTTCTCGCGCAGCGCAATTTCCCAAGAATAGAGATATTATAAAGTCAATGTATACTTTGACATGGTAATGTCACGAGCATAGATCGACCAGACGGATTCTTGACCGCGTCTGGAAATCTCGATTATGATTACGATTCGTTTTCATTATATCGCCGGAATCGCACTCGCGGGGGAAAACAAGAGACACAGTAGGAGAGAGAAAGAGAAGCGGCGGTCGTTACCGTCCGATTATTAAATGTAGATGAAGGGTACGCGAGATCGCTCGCGTGATTTTACGTCAGGTTCTAGCGCTTCGGCCGGTCCGGAGTTTCGACGAGATACATCGTTCGATATGATTGCCGACGTGGCAATAATTTCAAGAGTATATACGGTTTACGCGAGTTAATCGAGATCCCCGTTTGCCATTGAAAATAAGGAGACTCGTCCAGTCTCGGGGAAAGAGAGGGCAAGCGGGAGAGAAAAGAGAGAGAGAGAGAGAGAGAGAGAGAGAGAGAGAGAGAGAGAGAGAGAGAGAGAGAGAGCCGGAGAAGGAACGGGACGAGATGGTGGACAGAGATTCTTAATTTCCGGCGCTTTGTTCTTGTGACCATGGTGGCCCGTTTCATTTCCGTTTCGTTGTGCAGAGGTAAACGAAACGAAGTTGGAAAAAAGGAGGAATCAAACATTATGAAGAGCGGCCGCAGCGAGTTACGACTAAAGCGCGGAACTTTCACGCGTACCTGTGATCGTCGAGTTATTTATCTCACACGTTAGTCAGTCGCGATGACCGACGATTAATCCCAGAATATTAATCATAATATGTAAATGTTAATACCGACGATGAGCGAAACTTCGGTTCCTCAAAAAGCATCGTAAATAAAAATAATAAGAGGTTTTTCTTAGCAAATATAGCCACGTCTTTTTTTTTAGGGTGCAATTTCATTTTAACTACGTTAAAATTATGCCAAAGATATTATAAAGATAAATGTCGCTTGACCTGAGAAAATTATCTAGATGAAAAAAGTCTTGATGTCATTTTTTATTAAATGACGCAAGTTAAGATACGCTTGAAAAAAAAACAACGCATCAGCGATGCAAATAAAAATCAAGAAAAATAATTCGCTACATTGCACGTCAAACAGCAAATTTATCAAAGTTGACATTTCAGCTGATAATATTGCAAAATACTACCCAACTATTGCTGTTTAACTCGTTTATATGAAATTAATAATTGATTGTAAGTTTTGATAAATGATATAATTAAATTATTAAATGCTCGCGTAATTTATTTACATATCAAACGCGCTAATGAGATGTCAAACTTTGTTAGACGCGGTTTCTTTCACAAGCCAATTTATCTGTGTTACAAAATGATTTTTAAGTATTACAGATTGACGTGATCACGTAACGCGTTCTCTAACATTGAGTCATCAAACTTGAGCAGACCTGTTATTCTTATACACACAAGCAGATAAACATGATGCACATACACTGGGTGTCCCAGGTGGAAAGGTCAATATTCTGGGAGGTGATGGTATCGGTGATTTTAAGCAAAAATGTTCATATGAATATACATCCCATTCCCTACTGTTTCCGAGATAGAGCGACTTGAATGTCTCGTGTATTCACTTTTCTTCTGTACACTTCACCCTTCATCTAACCTCATAAACGTCTGCGGGAATTTACCGAGGGGGAAACCGCTGAGGGCATTGTGGTGTACAGATTTGCGGCATTACCGGGCATTACTAGGGCATTTTTGGGGCATTACGTCTTGCTGAGGCATTATAAAGATAAAATAAGATACAATAAGATAAAAGAAGATAAATAAGTAAAAGAAGATAATAAGATAAAGTAATGCCCAGTGGGCATTAGTGGGCATTGGTGTACAAGATTTTGGTCAGCGGTTTCCCCCTCGGAATTTACCCTTATACGTGCGTTGACTGTCGTGCCGATAACATTGAAGAAATGTTCAAAATGTAAAGGAACGTCACGATGTACTCGGACGAGCAACACGCCATGTTCACAGAGTTGAAAAATGTTGTTAACGGTGGAATTTTGGAAAATTTATTATGATCTGTAGCGCTTGAACAATAAATATTAGAAGTAGTACGTAGTATTTCTTTCTTGTCAGTAATTTTGCCACTGTACATTCAAATATCTCGGAAACAGTGGGGAATGGGACATATATTCATATGAACGTTTTTGCTTAAGATGACCGATACTATCACCTCCCAGAGTATTGATCTTTCCTCCTGGGACACCCTGTATATCAATAATCTCACTTGTTGTTACTTTAGAACTTTAGTCGGTTTTTCCATATAAAAAAGTGTGTTAAGTCGACAGTCGAAAGTCTCGAAGTATTGTTGTCGCTTTTTCGAGATACCGATTGGCTGTCTCGCTTGTGCGATACGACATGCTTCAGTCGTATTATTTGCACTTGTCAAATCATGCGAATTTTTAGAGAGAGCAAATGGCGCGCGCGAACCGCACGCTTGCGTTGTTTAGTGATTTAAATATGATAAATCTATTACACAAATATACACATACACACACAATATATGTTAAAAATATAGATGAGAAAACATATGTATAAGTAATACAAAGATATAAAAAGACAACCAAGTATAGAAACTGAAACAAAATTAATATTCATTTGATACTTGAGTAAAAATTAATACATTTTGAGAATTTTACATTAATACATTGTCTTTGCTAATAAAATTTCGCGAACACATATCTACTATTTTTAACAGTTTAGTTCCCTTGCAAAGTGACGCATTAAGATCTTTGTCGTGAAATTGTACACTTAATAAAAAAATATCTTCATCCAAAAAATATTACTTCACTCAAGCAAATTATTCATTGGGTGGCACCTAATAGCTTATTAACTTAAGTTTAAAAAATAATAAACAAATTAAAACATGCATTGCTTTAATTTATGTATTTATTAAATATCAAAGAATATATATAATTTTAAATTAAATATATATTGTGCATTAATAAAACATTTTATTTTAATTCTATAAAATGTTTACTAAGATGTAATTTTCAGAGCGAAGAAAATTGGATTTCTTATTTAACAAAAACAATTGTTTTATTTAATAAATAGTATTCTATATCTCATGAAATCCTTGTTTGAATGTAGAAAATGTAATGATATAAATTAATTTACCTAATATAATACATAGATTTACTGAAAATTTGATATTTTACTTTAAATAGAACAAATATTTACTTCAGTATAAAAAAATTTTTTTAAGTAAATCTATTCACGTAGTTAAAAAAAATTTTTTTTGGTCAGTGTATTACTTTAATCTTAACTATATTTCCGTATGATTTCTGTACTTTTCCTTCCACGTTTTTCTGATCGCTTTACTTGGCTATTGTCGCTTTACTTGGCTATTGCATTTACTTTAAATGCAAATTCTTCCCGCAGACAGATTTAAAGAACGTGCAAGTGTTTTGAAATCAACATATGAGTTTCATGCGTTCTTTGTTTTGTTATCCCCCTTCCTCGGTGAAGTATACTTAAGCAGGAATTTGACGTACGACGCGCCGTTAGGCACCTGTGACCGCGTTCGAGCAACAGTCGTCAGTCGAGAGCCGGAGTTGGGTCTGATCGGACCCACTGCACTCTGACGAGGTTCCTTGAACGGAAAAGCAGAAACACTTTCACCGGGATGCTGAGGGAAACGGTTCTCGTTTTCGCGGCGCTCGTCGTACTCGCCGGTGCCACGGTAGTTAATCACTGCAATTCCGGTACGTGAAATATGCAAACTGATAAAATAGATAAACCGAACAACACAGGAATATCGTAAAAAATGTATTAGCCTGCTGAAAGACGGTTGCAGGATGTTAATAAATCGTGTTCGCGAAACGCAGACTGTTCCGGCAACGATAAATAATGATAAATATAACAATTTATTTTCTTCCTTTAATTTTTTAACTTGATTTATTTATTCGCGCAGCAGCATTACGTAAATATGTATATAGACGAGTTAATGGACGTTTACTGAGAATTGCAATTAAATAATCAACAAGATCGTCATTAAAAAAATTTTCCACGAGTGACGTATTTCGCGGAAAAAAAGTTTGCAGAAATAATTCACATTTAAACGCGACCAGAGCCGTGGTCGTTTTTTCTATGTCATTGAAAAAAACCTCAAGATTTATTCAAAAATTAAAACTGCTTCTCTAGTACGCAAGAGGATCTGTTGATATCGTTGAGATACCTTTGTGAAACTTTCTCGGCGATGCGCTGCGTTAAAATGTTATTATACAGAGCGCTTCTAAAACATTCGGCCAAAGTTTATTAATGCATTTTTCTCATTTTTTGAAAAGTGATATATACATAAGTATCGGGTTTCCATGGGTGCCGACTCTTATTTCTTAAATAATTTTATTTTTCTGATTAGAATAAAACGGAATTATTTTAATAGGAAAATTTTTAAGACATTTTGCACAAAATTGAAATACAATAATATTGATAAATATTTCGCAAAAATTGTGTTAAGATCATTCGCTATAATGCGGCAGTTTCGTCAGAATAAAATTCCTTAATAATATTTGTCAAAAATTAGACAAATCTAATTTAGAATATAAGTACTTTATAACAATTTTGATATACTAAATGTATAATATTTCTACATTATTTGTAAATGCTTTATACAATAATGTAACTAAAATATTTTTTTCAGTTATTGAATAATTTCTTCCCAAAATTTAATTTTGCAAATATATTGTTAAAATGATACGCCATATCGTTACTGTTTTGCCAAAATATTATTTCAAAATAAATTGCGAAAGCAATTATTAATGTTTCATAAGAGATCCGTATTTCTACATCTATTTTTTTTAATATATCCATAATTCTGATAAAAAATATATGTTATGCAAGATTTCATTATGTAATTTTATAAATGTTTTCCTCGAGGTATATCAGGTAATTAATGATCGAAGAGAAATCGGTAAATAAGGTTTTCGAAATGCTTATCCTTTGGTGTTTACTAATTGTCAGTGACGAATTCTCAGCACAAAATATTTTATTGCTGTCTTAAACATGTCCACTGGAATTCCTCTTTCAACGGTATTTCGAAGGCCGATAGGCCTACCGCGATAGTCTCTGAACGTAGCCCCAAATGGAATCTAATGGTAACAAACCGGGACAAACACTATACGGTCAAGGGATACCAGCAGCAAAACGCTCTGAAAAACTTCAGCGATAAACTTAGTCCATAATAATTTTGTAGGGTTCTAGTCACTCAAAAAAAAACTTTTAACGACAAAAACTCTATCAGTGATAGAGAACATCGCTTCTATTTTTAAACTAACGCGAACGAGGCCAAACTAGTTCTGGTCGAATTCCTTCAGTATCTTGATTATATCTTGGAAGCTTCTCGAAGCCATCTATCTCAAAAGCACCAAGATACATGCCGGGAAGTCGTTATCGGTACTCATTAACACTCCCGGCATATGAGCATTTTCTCTCCAAGAAGAACAAGCAGCCGCTTAACAGAAGCTTTATTGAAAATCCTATATGTTTTGTATTTATGAACACGAATTAGTAACTGAATAAAAAATGGTTCATCAAAATCAACGCACGTCAAGATAAAAGAGAGAAAAATAAGAGAACAGGATTTGCCCTTTCAAGGCAAACTAAAATATAAAAGTACATTCTACCACGTACTTGCATTCCGAGTTAAGTCGCGCATCACGTTCTTATTCGGTACTTGGTCATTTATATAATATAATCAATTGTTTATTTGCTTTGTATCATTTCGCTATTTAATTCTTATATTTATATAATACTTCAGGTAAACGTTAAAGTCTTTTTCCAACGGTAGATTTCCAATTGACATGTAATAAATTTGACATCCTATTCCTTCAATCTGTAATACTCGCGAAATTTGACCAGATGTTTGAGAATATTCCCTAAATGAGAAGCTGTCGCGATACGATTTTCAATATTTAAAATTCTTTTTCCAATGCTGGAATGCTATACGTATTGTCGTATTAATTTTCTCTTGTCAAACTTTTTCGAGCACCGTACACGAGTATCTGCCCACTAATGTGTCACCCATGAACTTGTTGTTCAAGTGCAATTTTTGTTTGAATCAGGCAATAGAATTATTGTGCATTACCACGTAAGTTAAGCGTCGAGTGATTGTGTCGAAAATGTGCTTCTCATGCTCGTGGCAAAAAGAACAGTAATTAGAGTTCTCATAAAATTATCATTGCATGATGCGCGTAATGACCGCTAATTATTGGATATATGATGCGCACGAGGCAACGGGCTGTAGCGCATTGTTATTAATACCTATATAATTACTTATGAGAAACATAATTGACACGCGGTGAAAGTGACGCGCGAAATACTTGAGCATTAATTTACCGGCCGACATGCCTCGCCGTTAGAATTTCAGTGTCAAATTAGAAACTTCGCGTCTGGTGGAGGACTATAAATATTTGGACTTGTATAAGTCTCTTTGTCAATGTGCTCGAAATGAGACGACGAAAACCAGTACGAAGGAATGTGCTAATTTACGAATACCGTTAGAACTATAACTGCTGTTTTCAAACGTCCATAGATATTGCGCCGCGGACAATAAATGTAACATTATATGGATGCTATTTATTTCGCTCTGATAACACGTTCGTTTCAATGCATTGCACGTACGGTTAGGAGAATATATTTTTTTCAAATAATGTCTCGCTGAAATATTTGTTTGATTCGACAATTTAAGGAAAAATTGAAACAATCTCATTACACATGTCCAATTCTAAACGTCATCAGATCTTCAGAGAGCGGCTGATACTTTACTCGTATATTCGAGATCATATTGAGAGCGAACTAATTATTTCGAAGTCTTGATTGAATCTCATGAGATATACGTAGATATTACATAATCGAAACATATGTGCTGAGATTTTTCGAGTTTTTTCCCCGGGAAAGAGTAATCATATCATGTGCTCCTATTGCGATTGTATACCATGCAAATAAATGTATGATAAAAAAAGTCACGTCGACAATAAGATCACATTTCTAGGGTGCATAAGAAAAATTAACATGACTTACGTCTACGTGTAAATATAATTTACATTCGCTTTGTTATTCGAGATGTCTCGCTGATCTATTGTAACGCCGTTTTTGACCTTCGGTATGTAGTTACAACCATAAGCACAAAAAGCAAACGTATCATTACTTCTCGCAACGTATATGTATATAAATTTACGTTTCCATTCTCGTGAATCACGCGGTTTTCAAAGCAGCGGTTTTCAAAGCAAAAACTTCAACTTATTATTAATGTCAACTACTGCCGCAATTCTTCTGTCTATGAGACCGGATCCTATTGACTCAGTGCTCTAATGAAAATTTAATTGTTACTAATAAAAATGTCCGACGAATTAAAAAAATTCTCAACAATTAATTGTTAATCACATCTATTGACGCGATAATCGTACAATTCGTCTTCAGAGCAAAAAAAAACAGCCATTACTTTTTCTTACTTGAAAATCTCCAACACTGCAACGACTTTGAGTTGCGCTACGGGAAGATCAAACACTCTCAAGGCGATCAACATTCAAGTTGTGAGATTTCTTTGTCATCGTGTATCCTCTGCTCAGTTTTTAGTGCGCGCGTATGTGTATTCTTGCGGACAAAGAGTACGTGGAGTACTACTTTAGTGTCGAATTATATTGCCCTCTGTGAATGAAGTATTCATATAGTCTGCCATGATTAATGTATTTGCGACTTACGTAAGCGGGTAACTCGCAACCGAGCCGTGTAAAAATACAGCGGGTATAAATTACGCTCGTAATTTGTTTGCGATTTATAATTTATGATTTCAGAGACTCCGTTCGAGGATACCACGCAGGTCAGCATATCCAATTGCGATGAACCTGAATGTTTACTGAAACAAGGAACGACTATCGTCATAGAGATCAAATTTGTGCCTGAAAAAGACATTCACAGCTTGACGAATGAAGTGAGCGCGCTCCTTTTTAACGTACCCTTGCCCTTCGTGGGTGTCGATGGGACAGACGCCTGCGCTAACATGTATAACCCTGATGGCAGCAAAACCAGTTGCCCTTTGAAGCAAGGCGTTGAATACTTGTACAGAAACAGTTTCCCTGTGCTGGCATTTTATCCGAGGGTAATTTTCCGAATATCTTAAGAGGCTCATAATCGCGCGTTTATCAATAATTAGCCAATTAAATACATATATTACAACGCGAACAGTTATATTATTATGGACAACTTCACGATGGCAACGTGACTCCTTCTTTTAGTTACGCGCAATTTGTTTCTTTCGTAACTGGATTTCAACCTGTTGCAGCAAATGTTTATCATAACTTTGTTTGCAGGTTTCGCTGGTCGTACGTTACGCATTGCGAGAAGGAAATGACAGAGTTATATGTTTCGAGGCACCATCGAAAATTACGAAATAAACTACACCACGTTGCCGACTTCGACATATTACAATTAAGGGACATAGTGTGCGTAGTCGATGTAGCTCCGAGCTTATATAATTTAATTGGCCGATGTGGCATGCGAATAATCCATCTAAAGCGAAGTATACCATATTGTGATACGCAAATTTAAAATTCTTTTAATAAAGCAACTTTCTACTTTTAACCAAGACTTTGTTTCGCTTATTTTATCCATTTCCTCGCATCGAGCTCCAATAGCATTTTTATTAGAGATAAAATTAGTGTGCTAGAGATTAAAGTAGACATTTTAGACAAATTAAGTATCTACACGGAAAGTTTACTTACGCAATGGCTAGCAGTGCCGAATTTTTAGCGTTAATAATTGTTAAATATTTAAAGTCCAGTAATGTAACTATTCTAATTTTTTGTTCAAAGATACGAAACAATTTAAAAAAACAATGTATTAGTAACAAGGAAATTATTCTACCTATATCGTTCCATCGTGAAAAAGACAATTTACTTCTAATTTTTCTAATATTTGTAATTTGCAAGAAAGTCGTATTTTTCAGTTACACAGCAAATTTACGTTTGTACAATGTTTCCGCAATATTGCACTGCAATGTACGATACTGCAATATAGCTGCATGGGGGGGGGGGAGGCAAGCAATTAGTAAACGACTAACTTTAATTGATTAATGATTAAATAATAATAATAAGTAATTATAAGTATTGTAGTATTTTATGTGCATTTATGGTATTACATAATAACATAAATAAATTATATCTCGGATATCTTAACTTTGACGTGGCCGATTGTCGATAATGTTGCAATAACGAGCGTACTTCGTGAAGCATGTAAATATAACAATTCAATTATAGAGTTCAGATTTTGGTTTCGATAATCCACTGCTGTGTGCTATAAATTATTCCTTCATATATTTCGTGTCTTCATCTTCAAGCAACCGGAAGTCACAAATCTAAACGCGATGTCGTCAAATTTGTACACGTTTATCGTTCTATGATTAATTGCGATGCTTTCCTACGGTCTCATTATTAGAAATATTATTTTTAATAATACAATGAAATAAAAATTTCGAGTAGTTTATGTGTGATTTAGTCAACATGCAAGAAATAGATCTTTTCTATTCTAGATGGCTCTTTAATTTTATATATATTTTACGCGGAGCAACTAGTGAGTAATATTTCACGATTATTGTAATTAATGCTCGCCGTACGCGCATTGAATTCGTATAATGCATAATGTATTATGTATTATGTATAATGTGTATATTCAATTCGTATTTTGTACGGTTAAACCTGAGTTGATGCACGCCCATTATTGCGATGTTACCGACGGACGATCGGAAAGCATTCATGGGCGTATAATCAAGCCCCATAGGTAGGAGTCGAGGCGAGAAATTTACACATATGAATATTAAAAAATGTCGAAAAATGAAAAAAAGGCAACTTGCAAATGAAGCATATAACTCGACAGAGAGTGATTCCCCGGGATATATGTGTATACAGCCTTTGTGAAAATCCCACTGAAACGACGAAGGAAAATTCAACGCGCCTACCCTGTAAAGCAGCCAGGTTTACAAGGATAAAAGGGATCCGTGAGATATTGCGAAGAAATTAACGAGCGTGTTTCGAAAGGCAACGACACACTGGCGATGGAACGTGTGTTTCGTTAATAAAATCCATACAGGGATGTAATACCGGAAAGCGAGAAAGCACTGAAACAATTACCAGAAGTTCAGTAATTGAATCATTAGAAATTACTGATGTACAGTAATCATCTTTCTGCTTTGTTTTGCTTCCCAGTATTAGGGCCTAAGACAATGTTTTATCCCCCATGAAAAAGTATATATCTCAAAATATGTTATATAATATGTCAATACTTATACGTTAATATATATAAATGTATATATAAAATATAAGAATCCATATAACTAATTAAATCAGTTTTTGTCGCTTGTGATATAGAAGAAATATAAGAAAGTACTATATATTTACAAAAAGTATGCAAAATATATTTTAAATACATAATCTAATACATAAAATAGATATATTAGAATATAAAATATATGCCTGCATATATGAAATTAAATAATTTTTTGCCGTTTAAAATATATGATGGATATAAGTAAAGAAGGTATATTTTTACTGCACTCCCCGGGAAAAAATTTTCACAAATGATCATATATCCCACGACAACAGCGGAAGGCGGAATTTTGAAATTGGCGCGCAATATACATGTAATTATTGAGAAATACAGCAGCAATATATTGATAATTAGCCAAATTTATTTCGGCCGCTGTTTCTGAGCTTTTTAAAGAGCGGATGTAATGTAAATATAATAGATATTCGAAAAAGCGATGATTTGGTGGGCAATACGGGCCAACTGGCATTCGGCCATTTCCCTTCCACATTTTGCCTTCGGCCTTTTTTTATAATTATTACTACGATTTCAGAAAATTATTTAATAAAATAATTAACGTAAAACGGCAGTTTTCCGTTGGAAAATTGTAATAATGGTAGTGCCACTGTCTCGCAAGCAATTGCCTGCGACGTGGATAGTGATGGACAGAATAGTTGCGATACTTCTCTTTTTAGTGAGTTTAGGAACGTGCACTTAGATTCAGGGTTGCGTCCAAAATCTTCTCCGAGGAATCTTTCACTCGATGGCTATTCCGGAACCATTTTGAGCGTTTCCGATCTTTTTCTCGAGCAAAACTTTCCAGTAACAAATAGGGGTGTGTCTTCGTCGAGGTAAGCGCTAAGACGCGCCACTTATTAATTTTCGACGAGAAAAATAACGGGCTAGGACTAGACCAGGACTTGAACCTGGGACCTTTTGCTTGCCGTGCTCTTCTAACTAGCTCTATCCAGGTCTATCCACCCGTTTCCAGGCCCTCGAATTTTTCTCAGAGAAAATGTTTCGGAACGTAAATACGCGTTTCTAAACTCATTAACAAAATATTGCGACCATTCTGCCCATTACTGTTTAAGTGTAATGTGTACACAGTTGAAAAATTTGTGTTAAATTTAACAGATATCACATGTCCCAAACGGTCCACATAAATTTTTGTATTAATTTAATTTAACATAATATGGATATGTCAAACGATCACACTACTCTGGTAATATTTTAACACAAAATAAATGCAAATCTCAAAATAATTTAAAATAAATCTTGTGTAAAATTAACATACTTTTAATGGCAAAATGAATTTAAAAAATGTAATTTTTACATTTTACAGATGTAATAAGTTAAATGACGGTTCGAAATCACTCTTATGTTATGTAAACGTTTAACACATTCATGTGTTAATTTAACATTTCAAAGAAATGTTCATTTCTATTCAGTTATTTTAATAATTTTACATTTCAGGTCAATTGACGCAAGTGCAATATGTTAAATTGACACACGAATGTGTTAAACATTTAACACAAAAATTTTAACCGGCATTTTTTAAAACAAGAAAACACAAATTTTTCAACTGTGCCATACCCCGGGTTTAGATTTTCGTGTTTGCGACGATTGTTAGTCTCTATTATCACCGCACAGGAAAATCATCAGTGTCATGCGCCAAGTAAAGTTCACCGTGCGTTGCCTCGGGTTATTTTCAAGACGTCTGCAAGTGCATCCGTCTAAACGTTTCGCGAACCGACGTGGCGGCGATTCGAGACATCCGCCGACAAGTCGTCGTTACGATCTCGGAAAGTCATTAACAATTCAAATTCGACGTGGCTGCGGTTCTACGTCGCTCCGCATCTTCGGTTATGATTTGTGAAACGTTCGGAAAAACACGCGCAAATCAATGAAGCGTCGCGCATCGGAGTGAATGTCGCGATTGAAAAATGATATAGAAATACGTTAAGATACTTCGAGACCATTAGATAGCCGGGGATAACAATATTCGTCGGTTGAGCACGGCTTGACGGCGATTCCGCGTCTCGGAAAGTTCCGTTCCGCGCAATCACTGGTCGTAGCGACGACAGATTCGTATTGACGAGGCGTTAATTATATAATACACCGAGTGCACCGATGTATGCGTCGAGTAAAATATTAAATTGATTGGCGACAATTAAATGACGCTATATTAAACAATATTATATATTAATAAATAATTAATCTCGCATTAATATGCGGACGACGATATTTCAACGTACTGCGCGATTATTTCCGGTCGTGCAATATGTATGTTTCAGACTCGACGAAACACCCTCAACTTGTTGGTCAATTTGTATGATCTTAAATTGATTTCTCCAAATCGTGCGAAATTGACGGGATTTATAATTTTTTTTATTAAAGAATGTAAAAATGTACTTTGGTGACAGTCTGCTTTTTTTAGACCACACTCGTACCTATATGCATTTTTATTCGTTTCAATCTTGCCCTTATCTTTCGTAAGTTACTTCCTGCTCTAGTCAGAAAATATTAAAAATGACGTACTTGATGGATTTATCCTTCATTTATAGTTGAAAAAGTATCAAATGAACAAGACCAGCTAAAAATATTCAAAGACTTGAGAAGAAAGTCTTCTAAGAAGTCCTCTAAGGATTTCTATGAGGGAAACATAGAATCCTCATAGGAATTCATAGAAGAATATCTCCTAAAATTCGTGCTTGAATAATTTTTCGTTCGTTGTTGTTCATTTAATACTTTTTCAACTATAAATGAAGGATAAATCCAAAATCCAAGCTAATTCTTGGCAATGAATACGGCGATGCTTTAAATGGATTATAGCAGAACTTTCGGTAATTGCAGAATTTTAAAGCTATTAGACAATCGCGCTTCGATTTTTTAGCGTTAGACTCCTCTATATGTCATACAGAAGGGATAAGACGCTCCCGGGAAGTTACCATTTCCTCTCGAGAAGTGATAATCGAATAAAACTCAACAAGTTTTCGTCGGATTTCAACTTGGGTCTTCAGATCACTAGAGCAGCGGGAAACCCTCTGCGTCCACGATTGCCATGTTAAAACTTACGTTTTATTTGGCAAAACTTTAATTAAATTTCAACGTGCATTTTACACAATGTAGATCTACTGCCACTTTTTACATAGATTCATCACATCGATTTAAAATAAAAGGTAAATTCATCACTCACCGATACGATGAGCAACAGCGGAGTTGTAGTCTACGCCGTAAACCATGTTGAACTGCAAAAATACAAATATATGATTATTATAGAATAATTAT